AGCATTTATTCGAATTAAATACATTCCATATATGGAAGATGATGTCAACAATTTAATCTAAGGGTGGAAAAAATAAGATTGAAATACAATCAATGGTCCAGATTACTTAAGATGATGTCATAAAGTTTCTCTTTTAGTAATATTTAAGATTAGGTACCAAGTGGATCTAATAGCCAAAAGAACTTATTCGTCGCCCGCCGCTTTGCGCGGGTAAACGACTAATATATATATATATATATATATATATATAATATATATACACACACACACACTACATTATAAACTAAATCTTACTATTCTGAAAATAGATTCAATATAATAATAATATTTTTTTAAGACGTTCAAGTTATTAAGCTAATAGTACAAGTAACTATTAATAAAATAATAATATTTTTAAGTTGTACAAATATATAAGCTTAAATTACAGTTATCTTTTATTAAAATAATAATTAAAAGTTAAACTAACTAAATTTTGAAATCATATCCAAAGGGATTTTAAAAACGCTCAATAAAAAGTCAAAACCACCCATTCAAAATCGTTGTTGGAAAACTCAATTAAAAAAATATTAAAAATGTAATGACGGTAACCGAAATATTATAACCTGTTCATATTTCAAAACTATTTTCACTTTTATTTTAGAGTAAATTATAGAAATGGTCCTTGTGCTTTGGTATGATTGATATTTTGATCCCTAAGTTAAAAAGTTAATAAATTTTGATCCCTAAGTTAAAAAATTAATAAATTTTGATCCCTAAGTTAAAAAATTAATAGGTTGTATTCTTGTGGTTTATATATATAGCAGTTTTGATCCTTTGGGATAAAATGATTAACTTAATATTGCTTTTCTTTTTCATTTTCTTTTAACAATTTAGTATTATTATTATTATCATTATTATTATTATTATTATTATTATATAACAATTTTATTTGTTTTTTATTTTAATAGAGTTTGTATAGATTTCTAATAAAATTATATATATATATATATATATATATATATATATATATATATATATATATATTACGACAATTAGTTTTTCATTCCGTAAGCTTATTCAAGATAAAAATTAAAAAAAAAACGTTATTTTGGGTGACAAATAAAAATACATTGTTATTTAGGGTTAAATGTATAAATATATTATTGTTTAAGATTAAAAGCAAGAATATATTGGTTGTTTTATACTTTATTTTTACTTTGTATCTTATTTAAAAGCGTCTTGTATAAAAATTATATCAACCAAAAAATAATATAAGTGATAATAACAATTATTTTTATTATTTGGTACACTGACCGACTTGTATAATAATTATTTTTATTTAGTTTCTTATTTGGTACAATGACCGACTTGTAAATTATTTTCTGCAAAACCCTCCAAATACCGGCACAACAAAGAAGTATTATATATATATATATATATATATATATATATATATATATATATTAATTAATTAATTAATTAAAGTGAAGTAATAAGGATTGAAAGTAATTTTTCAAAATAGAAAATGATATAAATTGAAAATATGTTTTAATTGAAATGGGTAAAGATGTAAAAGTTATTTAATATTTTGATAAAATATTGTTTTCATCGGTAAATAAAAATAAAAATGTAACAATTTATGTTAATATGTAATTATTACGTCTATGTCATATCAATTAGGGTTATTTAACCCATGTAAAGATGGTATTGACTTTTTAAAGTGGTTTCTATCTTTAAAATCGGGTGTGTTTAACACCCATCTTATCCACCTTTGACGCAACTCATCTCACATTATCATCCTATTGACCTGGCTTATTAATTCTCCACGTATCTTGGCAAATCAATTTTTTAGTTAACGTGAGCAATTCCCAGTTCATTTGAAGTGGGAGACTCCTTCAGAAACCAAAAGCCTCGAACTAACAATTTTTCTTTCTCTACAAGAAAAATGAAGGCGACTTACACCCTTTACTCATTAACGCCACCATGCCAAACTGCCACTACTCTTCCTCTCAACCACCATTCTCAAATTAACCCTTGACCCACCATCATCTCTGTTCCATGTACAATATTAACAATTCTTCTTCGCTCCATGATCGATGGTGGTGATTTCTCACGACCATCGAAGGTCACCACCACCAACGTACACCTTCGACGGTGGTCACCACCAGTGCACCACCCACCAAACCGGCCAAAGTTTCGGAACAACTTAAGATGTTATAGTTATTTGGAGTTTGTCTTATGAGTGATTAATTGAAATTTGCAAGGAAGTAACATATAAATGGATTTATCACTATTTGAAGATTGTAAGAACTAAAGAATTATCAATATGTTGTAATTTGGTTAGCACGTAATGGTTTGATCTTATAGCTGCTATGAAACTATTCAACGAAATGAATTAATCATTGCTAGAAAACTATTTGTCACCGCTGCTTTGCGCGGGTAAACGATTATAGGTGATCTTTGATAATTTCTAAATCAATCCAAAAGCAAACCAAACACATACAACAAATGCAAAACCGATTAATATATAAAAACACACATACAACAAATGCAAAATCGATAAATATATTAATCGAAAAGCAAAGTGACCACTATTTTTTTTTTGTTCGCCACATGTTTTTTTTTTTCTAGAAAGACAAAAGAGATTATTGTTAGAACAATTGTAGAAAAAATCTACTCAAAAGTCACAAAATCAACAAAGAGATAGAATAGCATGTTAAAACCAACCTACCCAATTAATATTCAACATATTTTATTAAAAATATTCACCACATGTTTTTTGGAATGTGAAATGTCTCCGAAAAAAAAAAAAAACTATTCACCGATGATACTTTTCATGGTATCATACCAGATGAAAATGTAGTTGTATAGATGAAAATGTAGTTGTATAGATGAAAATGTAGTTGTATATTATATGTTTTTGGTATAACGAATCCAATGTAAGAAAATACATACCGAACAAACACAAAGACAATCAATAGACTTAGAACGCATGTCCAATAAAACGCGAGAGTTCAAAAATTTCCATACTCGATTGACCAATGTGGTAACTGTTTTTTGTAATATGTTCTCTAATAACAAACTAATCTTTTGCCGCCACTTTGAGTGGGCCAACTACTAGTGTGTGTGTGTGTATATATATATATACATATATATACGTGTGTGTGTATGTGTGTGTTTAAAAAATATTAATATGTATTTTAGAAGTATAAATATTTAATTTACATTTTTATAAGTATATACATATATTTTTAGAAGGAAAAAACATCATAAATGGTCTTTGTGGTTTCCCAAAATTTGAAGTTTAATCTTCGTGGTTTAAAAACATCATAGATGGTCCCTGTGCTTTCAAAACTTTTGATGTTTGGTCCTTATTGATAACTCCGTTAACTTTTGTCCATTAACTGAAGGGCATTTCGTCATTTCACTGCCATATGGACCATTTATGATCTTTTCACTTATTTAAAAAAAATATGCAAAGGGGGTCCACCTTCTCTCTCTCTCTCTCTCTCTCTCAACCCTTCTATTCATCTTGTTCTTATATCGCTCTCTTCCTCTCGTTCTTATATCACCAGCCACCATCGCCGTGTTTCTCACTCTTTGATGCTGATCGGAGGTAGCCAAACACCATGTGCTGTTGTTACTGCTTGCGTGGTTCCATCAGACCAGCTCCCTCTGACCACCTGTCACCATTCACCGCCCTTCCCTTTGAGTTCACGCTGGCATAAAACAAACGAGCAAGGTAGTGGAACTGCAATTGCACGCCGCCACCACCCACTGCCATAGTGAGGACTTCGATTCACCGAAACTAATAAACCCAAAAAATCTATCTTCTCTTCTACCTCCTAATCTGACCACCACCTCTATTGAAATCATTCTCTCTTCTCATACACCGTTTCGTTGTCCATCATCAGAACACCATCATAATCCTATTCAATATGCAATTTGAGAACATATGGAAGAAGGGGGTGTGATTTGAATTTATACAGATGAGAAGAAAGGCGCACATGAAAAAATGGCATCTCAATCTTGATCTTTAAAGGTTAAGGGTGGGTCTAGTTTTCTTGAGGTGTATCTGCTGCTCGATTCACACAAGTTTAAATATGACAGATGCATCTCTCTTTCTCTCCTGTTCTTCATATACTGCAAAAGTTATTATGATTATCAATTTTTAGTTCACTGAAATATGCACACAAAGTGTTTGTTAAAATGCCAATGAGAGTTTTTTGTTGTTACGATCCATATTTGCCTTAAATCCTTTTTTGTTATTACGTGAGGTGTTTGGCTAGCTCCGATAAACAACAAAGAGTAAGAAACACAATGGTGGTGGCTGGTGATATCAGAATGAGAGGAAGAGAGGGGTTGAGAGAGAGACACATTGGATATTAAATTTAATTAAAAAAAAAAGAAAAGAAAAAAAAACCTCATAAAAGGTTCCTGGATAGTTAAATGACATAAATACCATTCATTTAACGATGGAAAACTAACATCGTTAGCAAAAAGATCCAAACATCAAAAGTTTTGAAAACACATGGACCATCTATGACGTTTTTAAACCACGAGGATTAAACTTCATATTTGGGGAAATCACAGAGACCATTTATGATGTTTTTATTTTAGAAGTATAAATACATATTAATATTTTTAAAAATGTAAAAATATGTATTTATACTTCTAAAAACTATATCTATAAAATAATATTCATAATTCTAAAAATACTTTTTTACGTTTTACGTAGTATAACCATGCAAAAAGCTTATATATATATTATTAAAAAAATATAAATATGATTTTTCTACGTGAATACATATAATATTAAAAAAAAAAATACTTAAAGTAAAACCAAACCTTTCGAAAAAAATATAAAGATAAAAACAAACATAAAATTCAATTTTAGAAAGAAACAAAAAAATCCTCAAAATTTGAAAGATTTTTATAACATTAACATTTATTTAGACGCAAACTATGTCCTTTCCAACAATAAATCTTTCTCATAAATGTCGTGGATTCATACCCGATCTATCTTTCTATCGGGCAATCAACAGTCGACCGGATATAGTCTACCCCACTTTAGCAAAAAAAAAAATGTCATTTACCTCAAGAACGAAAGACACCCACACACTACTCTAGTCTTCAAGATCCATTTAGGCGTTTACCGAAACCAACGTCTCCCATCTCCTACATAAAGAATCATCTGGAGTCAAAGCTACTTTCAATGAATCTTAAGAAGTAGATTATTTTTCTTTTTTTACTCCCAAGAGAATGCATTCGAAATTCCTAAAAGCTCCTCCATCCTTTCCGTTAACCTCGCAGCACGGCTATCAACCTTTCCCGAAAGTTGTTTCATGTGTCAAGAACACATCATCATCGTCTTCTTCTTCGTCGTCAGAGAACAAAAATGGGTTCAAGATTCTGGGTAAATCTTTGGCTGATTATAAGACGAGGCTTAACGACTTAAACGGCAGTGAGTACGCTTTCTTTTTGTTTGATTTTGTGTTTATAGATACACTTCTTTCTTGAACCATTTGGTAAAATCCTTTTTTCTTGATTGTGGGTTTGTCTTCTTCTCAAAAACTTCCTAGTGGGTCACCGAAAAAAGCGAGCTTGATCAGACTAACTTCGAGAACAGTTATGAACTTCAGTATTTGATGTGGGGAAGAACTTGAATCATGTTTTATTTTGTGACAGATTTGATGCAAGACCATATAAACATCTGGGTATCAAAGACGACGAACTTTCTGAATGAATTGACTTCTCCACAAGATAAAAACCCCCCAATTGATAATTCGTACGAGACTGATGACGTGGAGGAAGTCTTCATGACAGAGCACACTATTGACAGCAGAACACCATCGGGAGATCTTTCTATAGTTGCTATTATTTCCATTGAACAATTTAGCAGGTAAACAATTCATGGAATTTCAAATTTGTTATAAGTAAATGTGATTTTCTAAATCATACATGGAATTTGTTGGAAAGTTGACGAAATTGAAAATGTAGGATGAATGGATTAACTGGGAAGAAAATGCAGACGACATTTAAAGAACTTGTGCCTGAAAGTGTGTCTAGTAATGCCCGTAATTTGGTGGAGTATTGCTGCTTTAAGTTCTTGTGTAGAGATACTTCAGAAATTCATCCTTCCCTTAAGGTTCGATTTCAATTCAAGGGTTAAACAGATTGATTTCAGTTTCATGGGGTGTAAAATGTAAAATGTAATTTAGAAATGTTTCATGGATTATGATTGATAGGAACCAGCCTTTCAAAGACTGATATTTGCAACCATGCTTGCGTGGGAGCATCCTTACAGAAACAGCAAAGATGATAAAGTTCCATTTCAGGTTCTTTTTTCTTTATCTAATAATATGTTTAAAAACTTAAAACCCTTTTTATTTGCAAATTAAAATTAAAAATTTTATTTTTATTGTTTGAAACATGAAGAGGAAGCTTGTAGGAGAAGAGGCGTTTGTTCGCATTGCTCCTTCTGTTTGTGGGGTAGCTGATTGGCCAACTGCACATAACCTTTTCAAGGCTCTTTCTGGTGCTCAAAAAGGCATCTCATTTCGTGTGTGGTCAACATATGTCAATGAACTTCTCAAGTGAGAGTAACTTTGAATCAAGTGTTGTTTAATTGTGAAATGTGAATTCAATGGATTTAAATCTTTAATAAGGACATGTCACATGGCTTAATCCAATGAAACGCGATAACGTATTTCATTAGAAAACTACTTTGTTGCATAAAACACACTTAACCCCTTTTTTTTGTTGGTCAAAGCTTTTGAACTATAAAGCCTTCTTTTTTGCATTTCTCATCACATGATATTGCCCCTTCTATTTTTAGATACTTATATGAAGATTGTTAGACATAAAAATCTTGATATTTTTAGAATATAGTATTATTCATTCTGATGTCCGTTTTCCTCCTCCATGGTGCAGAGTGTATGAAAGAAGGAAATCATACCTTTTGGAGGAGATTCCTGATATTGGTGATGAGAGAATTTTATGCCTTGGTTCTGGTAGTAAAAAACCTGTTCTTAAATGGGAGAATAACATGGCATGGCCTGGAAAATTAACTCTCACCGACAAAGCACTTTACTTTGAAGTACTCTCTCTCTCTCTCTCTCTCTCTCTCTCTCTCTCTCTCTCTCTCTACACTCATTACTTTTACTTAATTGACTTAATGGGGACATGACTTAATTCAGTAAGCTATATATAGGTGGAAACTCATGTTTGGTGCGCCACAACTAAGCTTATTTTTCTACTTTTTTTTTTTTTTTTTAAATTGTCATGTTTGGCTAGCCAAAAAGTAGCTGATAAACTAGCTTTTCAAAAAGTGCTATGAATACAAAGTAGGAGTCAATGGAATCGAGTTTCCTTTTTCAAAGTTTGTGGTTCCTATTTAAAGGGAGTTTATTTATTGAATAAAGTATGCTTTAAACCAAGGTTGTTAAGATCAAGATCTTACCCAAGATCGTTTTATCTTTTTAGCTAACAGCTAGTTTTTCAACTATCAACTAACTTTTTAGCTACCAGCTAGTTTTTCAACCAGTCTGCCAAACGTAGCCTAAGAGCATTTTACTCTCTCACACTCTAAAGTTTGCAGGAAATTGGTTTGAGGGGTAAACGTGATGCCATTAGAATGGATCTTACAGGACATGGCTCACGGGTAGAGAAAGCTAAGGTTGGCCCATTCGGTTCTGAGCTTTTTGACTCGGCTGTCTCCGTTACTTCTGGCCCAAAGTGAGTAAGCTTCAACAAATCCATCTTCATACACAATGTCATTCAATATTATTTGTGCACATATATCAAAAACCAATGTATGATTGTATTCCCATCTTCTCAGGTCCAAATCATGGATACTTGAATTTGTTGATTTTGGAGGTGAAATGAGGCGAGATGTATGGCATGCTTTCATAAAAGAAGTCATATCTGTACACCAATTCGTACAAGATTTTGGACCCAAAGAAAAAGCTCAAGCACTACACAATGTATATGATGCTAAAAAGGGTAAGACAAGGGCAACCGATTATGCCATTAATGGCATTGCAAGACTTCAAGCTCTCCAAATCATTAAAAAGCTCTTGGATGAGCCTACTAAACTTGTTCAATTCTCATATTTACAAAACGCACCCTATGGTGAAATTGTCCTCCAAACTTTAGCAGTAAACTTGTGGGGTGGACCATTGACCACAAGATTAACAGACTCTAATAAACCAGGCCAAGGGGTGATGTCACCTGGTGAGGTGTCAGAAGTTTATAGTAATCATGTGTATGATATTGATGGAAGTGTGTATTTAAGGAGGTGGATGAAGCATCCTTCATGGAATTCTAGTGTTAGTATTGCTTTTTGGAAGAATGCTTCTGTGAAACAAGCACTTGTGTTGAGTAAAAGTCATGTTGTTGAAGATAAAAATTTGGTAGAAAAGGCGATGATTACATGTAGGGATAAATATCAAGTGGTTGAAAGCACACAAGCCACCATTGAAGCTGCCATGATTGAAGGGATTCCTAGTAATATCGATCTTTTCAAGGTTGAGAAATAAAAAATTAATCTTTTTTGCTTTAGAAGTTTCTAGAAGGTCAACTTTCTTATTGTTTTCACTTTCAGGAGCTTCTGCTACCTTTGACTATGGCTGCCAAGAACTTTGAGAAACTTAGACGATGGGAAGAACCATATTTGACTGCATCTTTTCTTGCATTTACATATACACTCATTTTCAGGTAAAACGTGGGCATACATTCCTTCTAAATTAAGCCGATTTTCTTATGTGTGTTTGTTTTTGGGTTCAGAAATCTGTTATGTTATGTGTTCCCAACAACATTAATGGTGTTAGCAAGTTGCATGTTAGTAGTTAAGGGGTTAAAGGAACAAGGACGCCTTGGAAGATATTTTGGGAAAGTTACCATTTGTGATCAACCACCATCTAATACAATTGAGAAGATTATAGCTGTGAAAGAAGCCATGCGTGATGTAGAAAAATTCATGCAAACCCTAAATGTTTCACTTCTTAAAATCCGTACAATTCTTCTTGCAGGACAACCCAAGGTATATACTTTGACTTTATTATATCATGTTTCTTCATATGACATTTTTAGAAACTTTTTCAGATAACAACAGAAGTTGCTGTGGTTCTGTTTTTTGGGTCTGCTACTCTACTCATCATCCCTTTCAAGTATGTTCTTGCGTTTTTGACATTTGATCTCTTCACAAGAGAACTTGAATTCAGGAAAGAAACAGTTAGGAGGTTCAATAGGTTGTTGAAAGAACGTTGGGACACTGTGCCTGCTACCCCTGTATCTGTATTACCATTCATGTCCAAAAATGATGCCATGGATGATGAAACGAAGGAAAGAAACAATTTGCTAAGTTCAGAAAAAACTCGGAGAAAACAATAAGTGTGCTTCTGTTTCTTGTTTTATTCTGATTAAACCATTTGAACGTTTTAGGGTTCTTTGTACAGAGTGTTTTAAAACACTGAAATAGTAGTGTTTTAGCATAATCAAATATTCGTTCATGTTTTCGTGCATAAATCACAACAAAAGTCGTTCACAACTGTAAAATAACGAAGACCCAAAAACCAATTACGGTTTGTTATTAGCAAGCGTACATTGTTGTTCATCAATGGTGATGGGTAAGGAAATCAGAGGCTTTTGGTTTTAGTGTTGTCGTGGGGTTTCTTCCTCTTGGCGTAATTCTTGAAATGGAAGTTGATGAAAAGGGCTAACAGGGAGGCGTTGAAAACGGCATTGAAGCACCAACCGTAGAATCCGGAGCAACCCGTTCCGGTATAATGGTAATACAGCATCAGACCGGACACCATGAAGCTGAAGACGAATTGGACAATCTGACAGTTGGTGACCAAAACCTTCCACCATGGACGCCACCCAAGTGCACACAGCAGGTAGTATGCGTACATTAGCACGTGGACGGATGCGTTGGTAACAAGCGCCACCGGGAGTAGAGACTGCGATGTGGAGAGCCATACATAGCACATTGTGACCACCACAGTGTGGTGGTAGACGTGGAGGAAGGAAAGACGTCGGTTGCTTCCGCTGAGAATGATGAGGAGGGTGTCAATGAATTCAAGAAGTTTGGAGAAGTAGAAGATCTGAGCCCAGAAGAAGACAGGGCCTTGTGGAGGGGTTGAATTGGGTGGGAAGCAGAAGATCCAGCGGTGGTTGGGCATCTGGGAGTAGGTAGAGAGGGAACATCCGACGGCCATGATGAGGGAGAGTATGAGGAGGATGAGGTTGTGGAGGGCGGAGATGAGGCGGAGGAAGGTGGAATTGAGGGTGGGAAGATGGGCATGGTGGAGGGTGAAAGTGAGGAGAAGGTAGGTGAAGAGGGTTATGGAGAGGAAGAGAGGGGAGGCGCCCCATGTTTGGTTGGGTTTCCACTGGAAATTGGTGATGGTTGGGTGGTCGACTAGCCAGTAATGGAGTTTGGAGGTGAGGTCCTCCATACACGCGCCGCCGTAGAGGAAAAGGATTGGGAGCGCAAATGAAGAGGATAAGATGCGAATCGTTGGTCCCTAATTTTGGACACTGGTCGTTGGTTGGACATTTGTGGCCGTTTAACAACTCGTCAATCGTCATTTTATTTTTATTTTTTAGGAAAGCATTATAATGTTACAATATATTTGAGGGATATTTGAAATAGGGGTTGGTTAAAAAAAAATCATATTTTACTATATAAACACTCTAATATTTAAAATGATTATAAAAAATTAAATAATTTACTTACTTTATTATTAATGAGAAAAACGTAATATTGTAATACTAAATACAACAATTATACATGATAGAATAACAGATGAAGGAAAGCATATTGCTAAAGTGAGTGGATTTGGAATTTGAATAATTAAATTATTGGGGAAGTTAAACATGTAAAACAAAACACAATAATAAACAATTGACAAAAAAGTAAACAAACTCATAAATAATCTTTATTAATTAATCACAAAATTCAATTACATTTATTTTGTTATAAGTTTCAAACTAATAATCTAACTACTAACACTAATAGATCTGACAATCGTGTCATGTTTGGATTGATGTGTCGCGGGTTGGCGAGTTAAAATATGCCAACCTAAATACGACTCATTTAAATATACAAGTCACTGGTTTGGGAGTTTGGAACATAAACCCATATATGACCCGCCAACTCATTTATTTATACGGATTTAGAGGTTGGCAGGTTCGTGGGTCAGATTTCATAAATAAAATTGACAATTAAACATGAACAAATTTTTAATGGTTGATGCAAACATATCTGAATTTTAAATATTTAAGTCTTAAACATCCAAATTAAAAATTAAAATATTCATAGAAACATATTAGAGACTTAACCTTACAGGGTACGACTTACGATCTTAGGTCATCCACTACGAGTTAAAATATCAAAACAATCAAATGGTCTATGAATCAATGATATATATTATATAATACTTATTAAATATTAATACTTGATACATAAATACATTTAAAAATAAAATAAATTTTTTTATTAAAAATATAAATGGGTTGGCGGGTCAACCCGTTTATTTTTTGAGAAACCCATGTGACATCCCCATTTTCATGGCCAGAAAAGACCGTGACATCCCCAATAAAACATGATAAATACGTTCGAAGAAAAGTATTTTATTCATTTTAAAACATCTGGATGTCATCATCAATACAGAAACATAAGCATAAACAAAACTTACATTTATTATCACTAGTGATTTGTATCTCCTTCATTCGATTGAGACGTACTCTACAACTTTCGTTTAGACTCCGTCGGCTAATTTTGACTTTATTTTTAAAGTTATATTTTTAACAGGCCGGGACAGGATTGGTCCGTTAAAATCTCATAATTTCTTCATCCGATGTCCATTTTCGTCTGTCTTTTTATCGTTACGCTACTAATAATGAGATCTTCGATTCTCATTTAGGTTGTGTCGCTAAAAACTGATCAATCTAATACTTGAACTTCGGGCTGTACACCGCTAAGCCGAAACTTCGAAAAATCATAACTTCCTCATACGAAGTCAGATTTGGGCGTTCTTTTTATGGACATTCTCAGGTTAACATATTCTACGACTTTCATTTAGATTACTAAGGTTAAAAGTTGCTTTATAATAAATTCACTATTTACATCTTCGCGATGCCGTGCCGGTTCCGTCGTTAAACTTCAACGGGTCATAACTTCTTCGTTATAACTCGGATTTCGGTGCTTTTTATATGTACGGAGCCCTTGAGACATATTCTATAACTTGGTTAAGATTATTTATTCTAAATAATCTTTTGTCGAAAAGTCGTTTTCGACCTCTATTATCTCTAAATTAACTAGCCCGGATCTACGGACGTTACAACCCATATATGACCCGTTTAATAAACAGGTTGTCGGATTGACGGGTTAGCGGGTTGAAAAACTCAACCCAAAACCATTTATGATGTGTCGTGTTGCGGGTTGTGTCAGGGATTGCCAACCCTAAACACTAATGTCATATCCTAAACCAATGCTCCTAACATACTAGCTCTGCTTAATCCTACTCTATTCACTATGAGATGAAACTCTCTTCACTATCAGATGACCTTATTTAGCTCTATGTTTGATATAATGGTACTTTCTATCGATATGTCTTGATTTACCATGATCTCTCGATTCTTTGGTCAAAACAACAACTTCTTCATTATCGCAGAAAAGTTCCATTGGTTCATGAATGGATAGAACTACTCTAAGATCTCTGATGAAGTTCTTCAACCAAGCCGCTTCCTTTGATACTTCACTTGTCGCTATGTAATGGTATTCACGAGCTAGTTAGGGGGAGATAACAGGGACTTCTTATGCAGCTGATGGTGGAGAGTGGGATGGTGATTACCCTAGGGCAAGCCTAGGGTGAGAGTAGTGCTGGGAGCAGTAGTAGTAGTAAGGGACTTGCTGGAATCGAGGCAATCCTTGAGGAAAGTACGGATAGATGTGGAAGGTAGTATAGGCACGTACTACTGAAACCAGAAGATCCGTACTCGAGTCAAGGAGGGTTGAGATGGAACTGAGGAACTTATAGTGCGTGTGTGATCCCTCGATAGTGATGAGTATTCTGATAGTTGTTATGTTAGTATGCAGTATGGTGATGCTACGGGGTAGACTAGTGGGCGATTCAGGTGCCGACGAGGGACAACCCGGGGAACAGATGAGAGAGTTCATATCAGCTGAGATTACGCGCATTAGTTTAGACTAGACTCTTTTGATCTTCGGTACGGTCAAGAAGGGCGTATTGGAGATTTTGAATGAGAGGCTTGGAGCCTTCCGTACTGAGATGGTGGCCATGATGGGGGCGCATACCATGACATTCTGAGAGTTCAGAGCTTGTGGAGCTCCAGACTACCATGGGGCTAGGGACCCCATTTCTAGTAGTAGATGGTTGGCGGATGTCGCTAATATATTTCGTACCAGCAGATGTCCCGATGGGGACAAGGTCCGACTCTCCTCCTGTCTCCTGAAGGACAGAGCACATGATTGGTGGGAGGAGGTTAGACATGCTATTGGAGATGATGCCGCGTTGGATGCGATGACATGGAGCGACTTCTCAGCTATGTTCAGGGCCGAGTTTGCACCCGTAATTGAGGTGTAACAGTTAGCGCGGGAGTTCCAGGACCTCCAGCAGACTACCGAGATAGTGGTGGAGATCACCGCCAAGTTTAGGAGAGGGCTCTCCTTGTTCCGCAATATGTAATGGACGAGGAGATGAAGAAGGACCGATACCACGAGATGCTGAGGAGCGATATAAGACAGTTTGTGAGCCGATCCAACTACAAGACGTTGGAGGATATGATCGATCGAGTTAGAAAGAGAGATTGATCTGGAGTCAGATAGGAAAAGGAAACCGGATTAGGTTCAGTTATCTACAGGTTCGGGCAAGAGACACAAGGGTTCGGATTCGAGATCGAAAGACTTTTAGAGTCGCAGCCGTTGTGGCAAGTGTGGCAGGGCACACGAAGGTGCGTGTAGGAGTGGCAGCGGTGGTGGTTCTGGTTGCTTCAAGTGCGACCATACTGGTCATTTTAGTAGGGATTGCACTGCTACCACTACCCAGGGATCTGACATGATCTGCTTCTATTCTAGTCAGAGGGGCCACAAGATAGCCTAATGTCCGAATTTGGAAGCAGCAGAACATGTGATAACACCTGCCCCTTCAACATTGAGAATCACCGACGACCGTCAGGTCTGGGCATAGGCGTCGGTAACGAGGATCAGGGCATTCCAATTGGTTATAGAGGAGACATGAGTAGTTTCTGATGTTGCAGGTGCGTATTTCTTATTTCTTATTAGTCTTTATTTATTATTTATTTGTTATGGTACTGCATCGATATCATTAAATGTACTTTAGATTTCTATTTCCTGCTTATGATTGAGTTATATGTCATCTTCATACCTTGGATTAGAGAGTAGTAGTTCAAAGATGTTCCCTTTTTAAAGCAGGTTCTCATGATGTAGTTACTATAACAAGTGTGAATGGGATGCGGGTAGTGTATCATTAGCTTTCGAGAGTTGTACTATTTTAGTAACGAGGTAGTTTTGGAACATCAACAGTGGTAAGCATTGGTTATCAGCGGATCGGGTATTGGATGGTAAAGAAGATTGGAAATCCCGTCTAAGTTGTGAGCTGTAGGGAGCTAGTTGAATCGAAGTGGGGGAGAACCATCCATATTTTCAGGTGCAAAAGTAAGTGCGATGGTGGGATAAGTTAGCACCCTAGTGGAATAGGGAAGCAACCCGGTTGACTATTGGATAGAAGAGTGTGTGGGTTAAGAGTTTGGGGAACTTTCCAACTTTGGGTTCGTATATTTATGACAACTGATAACTGGTTTTGGGAACCAGGTCGGGAGTTCCCGGCAAAGCATGGGTTTTAGCCAGGATGTAAGACTATGGGATAGCCGTAGCATCCACCAACAGTTAGACAGTGTGGGAGGTGTTGTAAGACTACGGGATAGCCGTAGGATTCACCAGTGGTTAGACAGCGGGGGAAATGCTGTAAGACTGTGGGTTAGCTGCAACATTCATCGACAACCAAATAGCGGAGTGTGAACGAGGCTCGTATCTCCTAGTAAGTGGAGTGTGGGCGAGGCATGTATCTCCTAGTTAGCGGAGTGTGGGTGAGACCTGTATCACCTAGTTATCATGTTCAAAATTAGGAAAGGATAGATAGATAGAACTCGAGGGGGGTTGTACCTACATAGCCCTAGATGGGTGAGACCTAGGGGCATGGCCACTTAGCAGTATGATTTGGGTGAGACCAGTGGGCGAGGCCCATGAGTGAGTAGCAGGGCAGGTGGGACCTGGAAAGTCCATAGGGACGGAGTAGGGGATCGGGGATCCCAAGATCAGGTAGCCAAACGACAATGTAGATAAAGCAATATTAGTTAGCCGAAGTTATCTTCCGAAGTCGCTGGGAGTGACTGAGAGGGGGATCAGTGGCTTAGTAACCGGGTGGAATCCGGTATTTCAGACAGTGGGTAGATAAGTTTGGACCTGGGAGGTCTCGTGTTCCTTTGGAAGGTAGATAAGAGACATCATGATGTTCAGGTGGAAGTAGTGAGGAGAGGGTTCCTGTGAGAGGAGTAGCTTGCAGATCAGAAGAACGAAGACACTTACAGTTGGGTTGGATAATCTCAGAGTAG